ATACAAAATTAATTTCAGTTGATTTTTTAGATATAGTCAATAATTCAACAATTGGTGGCATTTTATTAACCCAATTAGTTAAATATAATATTTCTTACATTTTACCAAAATTATTTGTTACTGATTCTGCGACTTATATAAAAAAGTGTTATAGAGAAATATTAAAACCCGTTATGCCGCAGTTAATTCATGCACCTTGTTGTGCACATATTCTTAATCTTATTGGGTATGTATATAAATTAAATTATTTTAAACTTAATTTAATAATGAATAATAATTGTATATTATATACATATTAGTGATACTTGGTGAACATATCCAGAATTTGATATTTTAAAAACTCTTTTAGCTAAAGTTAAAGAAACGTTTATCAATTCACCTGCACGTAAAGGTCGTTACCTAAACTATCTTCATATGCATGGTATTAAAAATCCGTGTAAGATTCCATTGCCAAATAAAACACATTGGAATTCATGGTTTAGAATGGTATTTTATGCTAAGGATTATATTGATTATTGGCCTTCTTTATTTTCTGAAGAACATGAAAAGGATACAAGTCATGAATCAATTATTAAAATTAATAAAATTCTACAAAATTGACAAAAAAAAGGCATAGTTGTAATTTATATTCACTTTATAACATACTATGCACAGGAATTTGTTCATGATTTAGATTTTTTTCAACAACAAAATGAGCCAATATTTCCATATGTTGAAGGATGGCTTGAACAACTTTTATCATTTATTGAAGGAAATATTATAGCTTCAAATTTTGGATCAGATATAAACGATCTTATAACACAGTTTCAATTTAATATAGAAAACTTTTGTAATATTTTCTAATTAGCATTTGTTGTTGCATATAATAAATATGCAGCACATATTTCTCAACATCCTGCTCATTCTTTATTTCAGGCTTGTCATGTTTTTAACTCTTTCTATATTAAAATAGGAAATCAAATAAATGATATTTCCATAGAGATCTTCGCCGATATTTAGTAATTACTAAGCTTAATAATCCATCACATGAGCTTTTACAAGAATGGACAATTTATTGTGGATCAGTAAATGAAGTCCTTGAAGAAGAAATCGATCTCCATAATTATTAGGTGGGAATGCAAACTATTTTACCAGTTTTATCAAATATTGCACTAAATTACATATAGTTTCCGGTTCCTAGCTGCAGTATAGAATGCAGCTTTTCTATGTATAATAATCTTTTAAATAGTGACCGTCAAAATCTTTTACTTGATTCTTTAAAGCAACTAAGCATGTTATATTTTAACGGAAATTAATTTTTGAAGGGTTTTAAATAAATAAAATATATTTTCTCAGTT